TCTACGATTCGTTGAAACGATTCCAGGCAAGGAAATCATTATCGACATTAAAAATTAACGTGCATTCAACGTTTTTGGTCAGTGGCCGATATATAATGCGTTTCGAACGCAACGTAAATCCGTAAGAATTTCAATCGCGCTAATGGCAGACCACCGATCGAAAATACCTCGCTAGGCAGCAAGATATACTGGATATATCATTTATCCTGTAACTCAAGCGGGACTTGGGTTTCACGCAGCTCGTGTACTCGCGTTAAATGTCCATCTGTGTGACACGGTTCTCCGTTGAATTACTCCTAACGCGATCGATAAATTTTAATACCGATCGACCCGTTTGCATCTCTCTCTCTCTCTCTCTCCCTCTCTCTCGGTAATCCAGCCGACGATGGTTAGAGGCTGCGAAGATGCGTGCGCGCGGTTCAATTCCCTTTGACAGGCGCGACGACGCGAGAGAAAGTGTATCGGAGCGATGACGGTGTTGCGCGATCCGCGTAGATCGGTAATTGCAATTTATAACAGTGCGGCTTTTAACAGCGCGTGTCATTTGTCGTTCGGTGGTACATGCTTGTACATGCGATCGAGATCAAAGACCGCCGTACTCGAACGTAAAAATCCGAGATCCGTTGCTAATCCAATAATCGAACAATCACCCGCGACAGGGAATGTATTACTTTCACCAGGAAGAAATACGTACTCGGCTATCTTCCCACGTATAAATATTGTGATTTGTATTTTACTCCTGGCGGATCTCTGATCGAGAGATTGCAGAGCACAGGCGCTCCATTTCCTGTGTGTCGTCATTTTTCGCCGACAGTCAATAGAAATTTTTAAATGGTTATATCTTCTGTTACTTTGTCGCAAACATCCCAACGCGTTTCGCTTCGCACGTACAAAATTACATCTACAAAAGTAGCTCGTTCAATCATTGGTAAAGATTTTTATATTTTGATTTAAACCTGCGATGCAATTTGCTGTTTAATATTCTCGAAAAATATGTCATAAATTGATGTGTGCAAAGTTGCTCGTGCCATGCGTTATTTTGTTACGTTTTCGAACCGGGGAGTCATAAAATACTGTAGCAGTCGTTTTAATTAAAATATATACCTACGACATACATTTATCAATTTGACGACGAGCCGATTCTCGCTCCGTAACAGCTCGTGCGTAATAATTATTACAGTTATAATTTATAATTACATTTCGTATAATATAACTATTATAGTTACAATATATTAATTATCATTACATATTGTTGGTTTATGAATAATACATAATGATTTTTCCGGTCGCGGAAAAAAATGTACCACACGTCGATCAACGTGTTGCTATCACGGGTGTTGATGCGTGAAAGGAACGCGGCGGTAACAACGTCATTAGAACCGAATGATCGTTTCAAATTTCTCTAATAATTTCTTAAGCAGATTGCATCGTGTAATGCGCGGTTTAATGCGTCTGTCACGAGCGGTGCGCGGAGCAGTGAAGAAATAGAGAGGAGCGCTGTATCATGTGTACAGAGGCTGATTCCAAGGGATTAGTCGTTGGATCGTTGCCTCGGTACGATTTACCAGTGTTGGTTCCTGTTGCTCGTGGCCGAGGTAGGCGGTTGATTGCCAGAGCCACAGAGCGTGCACCGAGGGCGCGTATTATGCACGCTTTGTAAGGCGAGCCCGCTGAAAAATTAGTCGCAGCCTCGCTTCGTTCGGCCAGCTTCGTCCATTCGGGTAACTTAATACCAGGACGGTTGCCGCGTTCCTACGAAATTGAAGAAAGGAAAGAAGAAGTAGACGCTCGTATCGGGACAAAATTAGGGTAATTCCGTTCGGGAAACAATATTTAAAGATGTCCGAACGGACGTCTTTATACAGCTAATTTGCATAAGAATCCTCCGCGCGAGGAGGATCCTTTTTCTGCCTCTCTTCCGTGCACCTCGTTTAACCGAAGGAACTGTCGCTTATTACGCTGAACGCCGTTACACCAGACGGCCATCGTTCTATCCGAGCCATTTTTTCCACGATTATTTTCTCAGCCGCGCACACCAGTTCAGACGGAGGTCGATTCTCGCTTTCCGTCGTCGCGGGAATAAAAAAGAACGGTGAGGAGCCACGGGGCTTCCGGATGCGACGACGGTGTCACCGTCCTCCCCTCACCTAACCGAGCGATAAAAGCTTTTAACGACGGTGGCAAGATCGTTCGAGGCGCCGTTGAAGAACAAACTGATCCGAGAAAAGAACGTCTCGCGCGAGCAACGTGATATCGCGGCCGATTCCGGATCGCGGACACGAATAAATTTGAAATAGTTTGAATTTCCGTCAGCCACATTTGGAGCTGTCGTTCAGTCTCGAGTTAACGAGTTATTTACGATAGTGAAAAACGAGTTCACGGTGGCGTTTCCTTTTTTTTCTTCTTCTTTTTTTTTTCTTTTTTTTTTTCGAAGAATTTTCGTTTCGACACCGGCCTCGACACGACGCAATAAATCGAGAAGATACGCATCGTTTCCTGTTGTATGGTCCATGAAGAGGCAAACTCAGCTTCAGAATCGACGAATTGCCTCGGGCCATAGGCTCGATCTCTACCAATTTGCCGGGACCCCAGAAGGACGAAGGGCAACTCATTTATTTGAGCGGCGGAGGCACGCATGGCGATCATCCACCCTCGAGTTGGTCCTAATTAAAAGATTTCACTTGACGCCGCAGATATTTCTAGACTTTCTCACGGCTGGCTGTTCACACGTTTCTCTCGGAAACGGTCAGGCGCCAGTCTCCCGGTGAAAAAAAGCTCTTGAGACACTGCTGCGAGCGTTACGTGTGCGTTTCTACGATAAGCTTCGTGCAGGCTCTTTATAAAGCTTCGTAGAATTATCGTAGCTTAATTCGTTACTTCCTGTGATTCGCCAGGCGCGGCTCAGTTGAAGGAGTCTCTTTCACGTTGCCGGAGTATCTCGAAATAAATTTTCGAAAAACGACGTTGAAACGCCCTTGTGTGTCTTGACCTCTACGACTATTGTAATTCGTACGTATTGTACAAACGAATTATTAGCTTGGTCTCGCTCGGCCTGCTCGCCGCCACACCGTAGAAATTTCAATTTACTCGTTCCTCCCTGCTCGGTGTGCAGCGTCTACCTATTAATTTGCGCGCGTGTCACGGTATTTAGCGGGGTTGCACCAACACGGATTCCTCTTCTTTCTCCGAACCCGGCGTCAATTAGTCTCTCAACCGGCCGCTTGCCGCCGCTTTCTCGCTACTATTCTTTTTCTCGGCTCGGACATCCTCTCCTCGGCTCGTCGCTTTCTTCCTCTGCTCCGAGCTGCCAGAGCCGCCTGTGTTTTATTTCAAGCGTCCCTCCGCCTTTCACGACGCGCGACGCGGCGGTTTTGCCGTGAGATCATTCTCCTTTTTCCACTCACCTTCCCACCCGCGCAGGCTACCGATTCGTTCGCTCCGTTCAAGATCGGTGATTACGTGCGACGAAGCCTGGCGATTCCTCCTCAGACCAGGTCAGACAAGGTCAAGGAGCCATAACCTCCTCACCCACTCGCCTGTTACCTCTCCAGCTGTTCATGAAGACGTTATTGCCATTATTATTGTTATTACTATTATCGCCGTCATTATCGATATTATTGTCTCACCTCGTGCTGCACGATCCGACGGCAGTAAAAATTCGTGCCTTCCGACCGATATCGATTGCTCGGATACTTCTTCAGTCTCTTCTCCTTATATCGTTACTCCATTGTTTAGTTCTACTAAACGTCCCGTCTATTCGTATTTTTTCGTGATCTCGATCTAGGTACGCGGTCTATCAGGACGACTTATCGCGAGCAGTTTCCGTATCGTTTCTATAGCGTTCTCGCTGCAGCGTGCCTCTCCTTCGGTAGAGGTAATTTAAAATCCCGTTGGGAACGATTCCTTCGCATCGATCGAAGGAGAAGCGGGCAACGATCACGGAAAAATACGTCGTGAGTTACGATTGTTGCTGCCGTTGTTGCTCGCGGATCCAGCGTCTTTTTGTTCGCCTCGTTCGGGAGGATCTGCAGGAACCGATCCGTCGGTTTATTTACGAGCTCGGGGCCGAACGACCTTCCCTATCGTGGCACGATTCCGATCGGAATTCCCGCTGAGGGTTTCGGACACACCGCGGAGCGGCAATTAGACAGATCGGAATCTCGTTTTTGCGGCAAGGATCGTTAACGATTCAACGATCGCAGCTTGGACTACCGCCGTAGGGCTTGGGTGACCAACGGCGGCTTTAACGACGATTTTGATGAATTTAGTCGGATTTAATTAGGAGGCGCGCATTTCCGTGAGCGCCCTGTTACTTAAGGCGGCCCGGGCCCGCGTCGAAGGACCTTAAAAATCGAGTTTTGCATGCCTCGGGGACAAAGCCATAAAATACCAAGCGTAACAGCTTTCAATTACAGGTCCCCGTGCGCGTACGAGCGTGCGCGTATACCGAGGCACCGCTCGTCTCGCCTGTCCGGGGCAAAAACGGCGCAACAACGAGCAGTGGGAAAAAAGGAATATCAACCCGGGGAATTTCGCGGTGCCCCTTGAAATTACTTCCACTGGTCCAGTATTTGGACCTTCGTACGTGACTTGGCACCAATTAATGACGAATCGCGGTACGATACCCGACCATCGAACCCCTTCATTATGACACGTGATCGAAGCTGCCGAGAGATACGTGGCTTGCATTCGTTAACATCTTCGCGATACCTTTTTCTTTTTCCGCGTTACGAGATTATATTCTCTCAATCTTTCACGGTTTAAGAGACCTCACCAATAGTTAGACTCTTCTCACTAGTTAGCCATGATTTTTCTTCGCAAAGAGGAGCATCGATCGGCACGAGTTCATCCAATTTTGGTTCAAAATTTCTTCTCCGCCAATGTGGGGATCGCGTTACCTTAGATGTGACAACAACTACGGCGAAAGAAACACACCGCGGATGATTGGAAGTTGGCGCGTGATTGCCGCGTGATGAATCGCCGCTGTATTTTTCTAAGAATAGACGAAGATATTACACGGTGTATGGCGCAGTCGAGCGTGATTGGCGTCACCAAGGTTGCGGTAAAGACGCTGGGTGGGAAGCGCTCGAAAAGGGGGATGGAAAAAGGAACGGGCGAGTGACGGGTCGTATGGTAATTGGCGATTCATCACGCTGCGACAAGCGGCGCAGTCCTGCTTACCGTGTTGGCCACTCGTGGAGACACGAGGATTGAGGACACGGGGATCTCCGATTGGAGACTCCGGGAGGCCGGGAGAGTGCTCTCGGAGCACTTGGCCGACGAAAACGTTTGATGAAGATAAAACGGCGAAAAAAGGACGCGCCGGCAGCAAGACGTTGTTTTTTCACCTGGATGTTTACCTCGAGACATGACTCGCCGTTCCTTTTGCAACATCGTAATTATTTCGTGATTACACGTTCATTATGCGGGGCAAAGAATGCCGGGGATGGGCCCGCAGTCGAATTATGCGTGAAAAGAGAGTTATACATCCGCGGCGACCATATACAACGGATTTCGTTGAATAATAATAAATCAAGTCCCCGTCGAAAATTCACTCGTTTTACCGGCACTCGTTAAGTTTTTCAACGGGTGTCAGGGTGGAGCCGAGCCGGCATATTTTACATTTATTATACAAATTATAGAACGTGACTAGAAATCATCGCGACGCGCACGAATCGATCGATCATCGGAACTCTCGACAAACAGCTCTCAACAAACCTCCACCTTCCTCCGCCCGTGTTTGCCTTTGACACGTGTCGTTCCTTTTCTCTCTTCTCATCGGGAACAAACCAAACAGTGGGTAGAATGTCATAGACGCGTTTGAGACTCTTCCCCGGTCGAATTTTCGAGTGGGTGGAATGCTGTGGTTACACCCAACTCTCTCCCTCGCCGCCTGTTTCTCTCTCTCTCTCTCTCTCTCTCTCTCTCTCTCTCTCTCGGTTGGTCTTGTCTCTCTTTCGACGGTTCCTATAGCTGGAAGAACCAGTTTTTGTTTTCTCGAGAAAATTAAAATTCCTCTCGCCGGAGTATAAAAAAGCGGCGGTTTTCATCTCGTACAATCAAGATGTGACGTTTCCACGGCCTTTCTCTTTGTCGTCTGAAAGCTGCGCGGACGACGAAAAGGCGAATCCAGGCTTGAGAGGAGGGTCCATTCCGCTTCGCCAAGATTCTCTATATACCTACAATAGGCAGTGGCGTAATCTTGATTCAGCCTCAAACTCGAGCCTCGGATTTTCCCCCTCCTCCTCACCCCCACTCCGCCGAAAATATCACGCGGACGTTTCTCGATTGGCCGATCAAAGATAATCTTGCTGTTCGTTTTGGAGGATTTATCGATCCTCGAGTACGCGTAGTTTCGTGCTCCCACCGGCTGTTGTAAATTTTTTGATCAAACGACGGTCGACGAAACTCTCGCGGCTCGATGAAATCTGATGCAACGCGAAACGCGACGATCATCCGGGGAACGGGAAACCCGAGTCGTTTGACGATGTTTAGTTATCTGATGGTGGGTGGGAGATCCATCGCGGCGAATAAAAGAATCCTACTTACGCCACTGACAAATCGTTTCCATATAAGGTCGCTGGAAGCGCCAGTACGCGTTACAGATTTAAATTAAATGCCTGCTTCTTAAAGGTAACCCGAGCTCGCCGAGCTTGATTCGAAGGTCGGAGCCACCGCTCCGACTCGTGCGTGCCGAGAGTGAATCTCCGTGAAGTCGGATGTAAAACGTACGTAGCAGCTAATCGGATTCACAACTCGGCAGGATCAGTCGAACCGACCGGCGCGAGGCGATTAAGTGGCTGGCTGATAAGCTGCCCTTACCAATCAGCTTTGCCCGTATCTCCAGATAAGCTAATCGGCGGCCCTTTTACTCCGCCTAAACGTTTCCTCTGTCCGAGACCTTGCCACCGATACCGGTTGTCGCGACTTATAGCCGCGCGTTGACACACGAACGAACGGATATCGGATCGTCCGTGTCCGACTTTCGTACCTTTCTAACGTGAAATCCTATTGCAGCGTCCGTCAGACACCGTTCTCACAGTTTGCGAGCAAGTGTCTTTGAATTGTTACGTACCTGGTACATACGTGGTCGCGTGGGACACCAAGTATACGGAGGATTTCAACAAGTTCCGGCGAACGTGAGAAAATATTTAACGAGATGCACGATTTCGGTGTATGCTCGTTATGTAATGCGGCAAGGTTACGAACAGGGAATTTAGAAATGCGAAAGCGCGTGACGTGGATGGAATGAAAAACGAACTGTGCGTGTAAATACTCCAATATTTTGCTTCGAAAGCTGTAGTTTCATTATCGCTGCGATATATTTCTTTACAGAGACTCGATCTAATGTATGCTGAGCAATGAAATGAAGGTGCAAATTACGTGTGTCTCGCGCGATAAACTAAACGCACTAAACACAGATATTAGGTATAAGTATCTACTAACGATTCATTAAGATTTCTAATGGTATTTTTGCTGCGGACGTTGGCCACGCAAGTAATTTATGAAATATAAATCCAAGCGAAACCAACCCTCCCCCCTGACAGATTCAACCACACCCTACCACGCCTTCTCGCGTGGTTGGTTTCGACCCCGTTCGCGTCGCTCTATTCTTTCTCTTTCTTTTTTCCTTTTCGTCCCTTTTCCTCTTTTGATCATCCGGCAATTTTCTGTGTCCACGCCGGTATAATAACAGACCTTTTCTTTTGCCACGTTCACGGTCTCCTTTCGCCTCGGCTTCGACCCTTTATTTTCCCGTCTCCGGCTGTTTGCCCGACTCTGTTCGCGCTCTCGGCTCTGCGTGCCAGCAGGGTCATTAAAATGGCGGAGTCTCGCTCTTGAAAGGGCAGCCACGTCGAGAAGAAAACTGAGAGATCAACGGCTGCTGGAATGTGTAACGCGTAACTGAGTCATTTGTTTGGTGAATCGATTTTCGAGTCTCAAGGCCCTTCCACGCTTTCGAGCCTCGACCACGCTTGTATCGAAACGTCCCCCTTCTCCCCCCTCCCTTCTTCCTTCTACTAATTGCCTGCTGTCTCGCGTTCCTTGGCTCCCCATTTTTAACTTATTCCGGATAACGCTTGTTATCGGGGATGGCTTTATTTAGTTATCTCCGTATCGGAGAATACTGAGTAGAATTTTAGGTTCCGGCGGCTTCAATTTACACGATTACGCTTAAGGATCTAAGATAATTCCAATGGAAACTACGTACAATCCCTTTCTAGGAATCGAAATTTCACTAACTGCAACGACGACGCAATGCGTTGAATAGTTCATCTTTAAGTTACGTATTTCATTTTCACGATCGGATATTGCGCGATTCTCGGCTATTTTCTGCCTTTTGCGGCCAGTCTCTTGCGTCGAGCGTTCAAATCGTGAATTAATAACAGCCGTTTTCGAATTCGTAATTATTTTCTGCGGCCGGGAAGAATCGAGCCTGGGTGGCGGCGCCTTCTTCGTAGGAGCGGTCATTAATTATTATCTTGGACAGAAGAAGGGAGGCGTAGCCAGAAAGTAGGAGTGGGTGGAGAAGGACGGCCGGTCGAAGGTGAATAGGAACGAAAAATAAGCACGTGGATGTAATGGACGGCCGTAAAAATATGCGAGGACAGATTTCGTATTAGAAACCTTTTTTGTTCCCGAGTTCTTCCGTGCGATGGATGCGATGGACGGCCGTGACATCGAGGCGACGTTCGATCAAGAAATTCATCGGTGTACCGTTTTGAAAATAATCAGACCCTTCACGGAGCGTTACGGAGGGAGACGTTTTTATTTTCCTCGAGACACCACGTTTCACCTAGGCTGCGACGTAAATATCCAAGATCGTGTTCCGACAAAAGGGACTCGGAGGCTGATATTTTGACAGACCGTAATTACACGGCCCGACAAACGGCTATAATCAAATTCAATTCTCTCTATCGCGGCATCTAACGCCAGGAATCCGTACCACTTCTCAGTTTTGACGTTTATTTGAGATCATTTGAAAGATAACTCTATTCGACGACTGGAAAGAAATCGTCGAAAGGATTCGAATCGATTTTGTACAAAATTTTAACCCGTTAATCCCGTCGGACGGGAGACAATTTCCGATACGACTCTGTTTCAATTTGCCGCATTTGTACGCGACAATAATTCGTAGTGTCATCGATTCGGCCCGATAGAGGATGCCTCGATAATATTGCTATCAATCTAGCTGTCACTCGGTTTCCAGTGGCCTATATGCAGACGGGGTACACATGCGGTGCTGCGAGTTTACGCAGAGTGTTGGCAGCGCCGGCGAGAAATGGAACGCGCGGTATCTTGATTCCCCCCGGTGGATTGATGGATCGACAGGTGAATATACAGATTACAAATAGTCGGCAACGAAGTTATCGACGAATCTGACATTCACGGTGGCCGGCGATATCGCCGAAAACCATCGACAAGAGGACCCACCTCCCTTTCATGAAGAGATCAGACGAAAACCAGTCGATCGGACCGAAGTGAATCACGAACGGCCACGGCATTTCTTCATCCTTCGTTGCTTTCCTTTCATCCTTTTTCTCATTCCTCGCTCCCTCTGAATGCCTGTTTACCAATATGTCTGTCCGATTTATTTTCAAGTAGCCCCCTTTCAGGGCTGTCCTGCGGCGTATTGATTAACGACGATAACGCGTCCAGATGCTTAAGCACCGTGACATCTCCCCTTTTATTTGCTCCCTTTGTGAATGGAATAATGGAAAACGAGTCGGTGACGGTGATCTCGTTATCCAAATCGAATGATGAATTTCAACATCGACCACTGACGGATACCAGTGCTATTTACGCACACGGTGGCGAGAGACGAAAGATCGAAAGATCGAGAGGGGAAAATGGAGGACTCGTCGCGAGAGAAACGGGCACGAAAAGAGCGCGAGGAGGCATTTTAACCGCTTTAAACCACAAATCCACGTGGAATTTTAAACAGGATCGCTTTTAGACTTATCGTTCTAATAGGACACGTGAGGCGGCCGTTTAACGCTCGAAGGTCGAAACTTTTGAGATAAGCGAACGACGACGGGGGTGGGGATAAGAGATTCGTGTCCACCGTGAATTTTTGAATAATTATCGCGTGTGTTCGCGGTTGGCCGACACGAAACGACACGACACGAGGAAAGAAGCAACGCCGTTTCAAGGTTCGACGAAGGCATCTTCTTCGTCGGATGTTAGTTCTCCAGTTGGTTTGCACTCGTTCGCTGTAGACCGTTCTTTTTCTTCTGCTCGGCTGGCTGGTCGATAATGACGTGCTTTTCGACGACTCATTTCACCGTGACGATACGCGCGAAGAAGAGCGGGCACAAAGGACGCGAGTAGTTACCAAGGACGAGCGAGGTCCTTTACACGTGGAACGGGACAATCTGCCTCGTATGCAAATGCAATTTCGTGGCTCGCGATGGACCGGGGCCCACCTCCCTTACGATTAGCAATATTTCGGGTGTAAGAAATGAGAGGCAATCTATATGTAAGTAAGGGCCAGAAACTATAACGGGGAGGCCATCCTCGAGGCCACTCTCTTTTCTCTTGTCCGAAGGAAAGATATGAAAAGGAACGAGAGGCAGCCACCAGCCAGATAAGATCTAAGGGATCAGTAGCCGGTAGAAGCACGGATATAGATCATACTAATGGCACTCGGCTGGCGTAATGTACCACCATGGTACTCATCGATCGTTATCGATAGATCGACTTTTGTACTTGTACGTACACGTCCGTTAGATCCTTTCTCCGTTCTCTGACGTTGCTAGATCCTCTTGTGATCCGACGCTGCGAGATTCTGTCGTATTTAGATCGATGATCGAATCCTCCTGTCAATTTCTATACGTATTTCGAATCGATTCCGAACCGTGCGATCGGACTTTCTAATGCTGTTTGACGAACGACTTTTCATGCGATTACGGATTATGCAAACGAACGGTTCCTCTGCGAAAATCGTGATTTCACTCCGCGTAATTGTCTCGTTCTTCTTTTCATCCTGAATGAAAGAACAACTCGGTGGATCGAGGGATCAAGGGTGTTCCATCGCTCTCAGATCCTGCAACGAAATTGCCGGTGTTCAGCGGCATTCGATTATGACATTACCGTTCATTTGTTACGACTGTCATTAAGTCCGGACCTCCGACCTGAACGAGGCGTCGAAGGGGCCGGATCGATCAACTTCGATGCCCGTCGAGGATTCCAGCGTGCCGATGCCATCCCTTCGGGCTGCCGAAGTCGAAAGGGAGAACGTGAGAGCCTTCTCGAGGGAGGCCGTAACAAATCTCGAAATAAACAGTCGCCGCTAGATTCGCCATTTAAAATCACAGCGTGAACGACCCTGTGACCCGCTTTGTTGGCCCTTAATTTGGAAATATGTCGGCCGATTAGAGCTCTCGGAGGGGGGTGGCTGTACAGCATTCAACGCCGTACGCATCCCCAAAAAGATAATTTATACGCCTTGGAATTTCGGCCTTTAAACGCCAGCTTAATAGTAGACTAAACTGCTTGTTAACTTTAATTAGCTGTAAATCAGCCAGGTAACTTCTGGCTCATTCCACTCGCAGTTTTCGTGCAGGATTAACAGCCATGTTGGAATTGCTATCGATAACTTATCGATAACTCGACACAGCGAAACAACGATGGAGAGATTTTTAGAACTCGCTTAGACACTTTAGACGAAATTTCTCTCACTTTCATCTCGAATCTCTGTATTGCGTGCTTATGACGAAAACGAAGTCTAAGACGAAGACGTGATCACTTCGCGAGAACAGAACGAAAAGAAAGCTAAGAAAGTGTTCCGGGAGGATCTCGGCGCACCGTGTCGTTTACCGACGTGGCAGACGATTTTTACTTCGTTTTCTCTTCGATTATGGCGGAATCTGGGACGCAGGATTTCAACGATGTTGCCTGACCAGAAAGTGCAACACAATTATGGGTCGATGACCGTATTATTCATGTCCTGTCTTACAGCCGCGGACCTGTAGTTAACTTATCTCATCTACATAACCTCTTCCCCGGCACCTCGTTCGAAAATTTCACTCGTGGAGATCAAAAACGCGCGTGGTGGTGCTATCGCGCCTCGCGACATTATAAATTCATTGAAAGTTGAAGGCTTTATTTGTACGCGAAGTGCTCGAAGTACCACGCATCCACGCGCCTGCCGCGAAGCGTACTTGAACAGATAAATCTCTTCATACTGTTGACGTGAAAACAAACGAAATTGTAATCGCGAAGTGAAAGCAGAGCGATAAGAATGCAAGCTCTCGCGCGAATCATGGTGACGTTTGAGTTGATACTACAACCGCGTTTTTAATCTCCTCGCAACTGCTTCTAAATATTACTGGCGAGTTATCCGCTCGTAATTGCCTCGCGACGTTCGTCGTTTGTTATTTGGCTCGATTATTATATCATTATAGTCTTTCGCTTCATGTTTATTCAGGTTCTCGCTTGTACGATCGGAAAACAGGGCACATTATACCGAGAGGAACGTGTGACCAATTTACATGCTCGAGCGTAAAGCAATCGACTCCAAATATATTATTCAACATTCTTCTCTTAGGCCTTCGTAACATGTGTGATTCGATGCACTTGCACGTCCATGCGTTTATATACATATATATGCGCTTTATGTTTTGCTCGATTTGTTCATCGTCGTAGATTGCAAATTCTAGTAGACTCTTACTTGCTAATTTTCCAATTAAAACAAAATATGGTAATCAGGCACGCGATATAATGTTTTCCTGACGAGAGTTCGGTGCAGCATTCCTCCCTAAATATCGTTTCCTTAATCATCAATGTACACGTATACGATTACAAAATGAAAATCGTAATAATCAACCAGATCAACGAACGCTATTCCTAGTAATACGTTTCGATTCGCGTTGTAGGTGAGTGCTGTCTGTGACAAAATACGAACGAGTTCGTAATGAATGGCACTATGGAAGAGGTCCTCCAATACACAGTATAAATCGCGATAAACAGGGAGTCACGATTGCTCTTCCGTCTACGTCAGCCAGGAGCGTCTAGTTAGCTGATGGGATCTACAAGCGAATTGCAAAGTCTCTGGAGAATCGCGAGCGGTGCCGACGCGTCACGATAAATTCCGTGGTATTGGTACGGGTATCGGTAGAAGCAGGTATCGGCGATGCGTTCGTGCGGCACGTTGTAAATGCCCGATGGAGGTCTACCACGGATGAAGAACCGACGTCGGCGCCAGCCTGGCTATTACGAGTTGTACAACGCGTTGAACGCATCGGCAGCAACGAGAGGGGCCGATCCTTGCTGTTAGCCACTCTTTTGCCTAACTAAAGAGAGCGCGCGTGAGCGTATACCTCCTTCATTACGTATCGCGTCGTGCGTTATTACAAGCTTCCACGTAACTATAAAGGCGTGATTGCGTGCGTAACCGAGACTTTAAATACGCATCGGGGCCGTGTACGTAAGAGTTCGCCGCCGCGGGGAACATCGAACGCCGCGTACTTTTCTCCACGTTCTTGCCTCTTCTTGCCGATTCAACTTCTCCTTCGCTTCTGCTTCGCGAGAAACGATTCTTATAATTTTAGCCGCGGTACGGAATCACGTTCGCGCGTTTCATGCGATTCGCATCGCGAACGAGTCACGCCCGCGGATTGCGTGTAATTGATAGGAGGAGAGTTTCCGCGGTTTGATACGGTCACTTTAAACGAAAGCGATTACGCGGAGCGAAGGAGGAGACGAAGGCGGAATGAAGATAGCGTAGAGAACGAGCGGTCGCTTTGGCGGCGTGTTTCGAGTAACGCCTCGGAGGAAGTACAATTATACTGCCCCGTTAAACCACCGTGATGTTCGTTTTGTTGCTTCTAATCCTCCCCCCCCTCCTCTCCCTCCCTCTTCCTGCGTGGAAATTTACGAGCGGCGACGCGCCTGTCGCGTGCGACTCGATGCCCGCGGACACTCGCCTTTAACGTGAAAGCCTCGAAATGGACGAAATGGAATTTCATGTCCCATTACTGGGTGCATCGAGGGTGCATCGTTCCATTCACCACGCAGGATTCCTCCCGTCCGCTATTAAGCTGGGTTGGAGACGATAATTGAATATACCGATTTTTCAAAAAGTGTGCCTTAACGTCGATGCCGATGCACTCGAATGGACGTCACTTGGATATTTTTTTTCGATTTTTAATTGTTGCAAGTTGTTGCATAATTAACTCGCTGCGTCAATCTTACGAAGAATTTCTCTCCATCGCTGTTGTACCGTGACAACTTTCGAAACGAATACGCAGCTGAAAACAAGAAGCTAATGATCGTGAGAACTGTGACGACTTACCAATGTCATCGGCGTAAGTATGTGCACGGTGTGCGAAAAGATTGATGCGTCCTTGGTGTCGCGGACAGTGTCGACCAGTTCATGAATATTACCGCGTGATCGCGTTACTGCTCGAACAGTGGAAAGAAAAAACATCGTGCTTGCATACTCGTTCAGCCGTGGACGACATTGTCAAGTGATTCGATT